CTCTCTCTCTCTCTCTCTCTCTCTCTCTCTCTCCCCCCCCCCCTCCTCTCTTATCATCAAGTTGGGTGAGCAAGTGACTTCAAGCCTACGGTTCCGCATCGATGCCGCATCTTTTGGGCGCGAGAAAAACATGACGTGTTCCATTTCAGCCCTATACTGTCTGTTTTCGCAGAAACCTGATCCTCTACTGGTCCGGTCCAACGGTGGCACAATTTGATGGCGGTGGCAGCTCCTGGTTACATACACAAACAGCATGCATCAATTAGACCATGTATTTCCACTGTCTCCTATACGTCCCAGACTTATGGAAAAGGGGTGGTCTTGGACGTCGAGAGCCAAATCTCTTTGAAACCTTCGTAAAGTGGTTTTGTTTACTCTTGGGTGAGCATCTGGATCAAGCCCTTGAGACCTTGCATAAACACTTATTATTGTCTCAGTTGTAGGGCTAGGAATGCTATACCCACGATTCAGACGATGTGATTAGGGGCAGATTAGGTCAACAGAAGGTAGTCAAGAAGAGCCCAGTGTAGCAGCTTTTTCTCATTAATAAGCAACAAGACTGCCTCCATGAGTTTTCGCAGAATGCTTTCCGCCTGCATACTTCCTGGCGTTTGAATTGCATCTCGACAATGTGGCGGGGAATATTGCAAGTGCTGGCCTTGGGCCTGGCTCAAATGGCATCAGCCGATTGTGTCCGGGATAACTGCCTCGAACGTGAGTACTGACTGACTGATTTGCTCTGTAATTTTCCGCAATTTGTACGGAACCCAATTGATCTCCTTCTCAGGCATTGACTGCGGCCCGGGATGCGTTGCCGATTGCTCGAGATGGCTCGCTGTCACCGTCAGGCCATCGCCCGTGTAAGTGAGTCCGATTCCTCAAGTTACACGATTTACTAATCCACTGTCTGCAGCACTTTGACATCAACCACTTCGTCACTTGGAACCTGCGAAACAATAATCACGCAAGCCCCAGAAATAGTAGTCTCCAACGCTGAAACCAAAAAGAAGAGGAAGAAGAGGACGTGCAAAAAAACCACGCCTTTTCCTTTCTATGCTGCTCTATGTGATGACAGCTCCCGCTATGCTTCAGCCTGCGAATGTATTGGTGTGACGGCCACAACAGAAACGGCTGCAGCCCATGTAGTGACAGAATATGTCACTTTCGTGTACACCACACAAGACGACACTGTCACGGAAATCGAAACTACAGCGTCCGCAATTCCTGGGCCGGTTCTTACTTCTTCTGCGGTTGAGCCATCAATGACTACAAGCTCCCGGGAAAATGACAATCAGAGTACCAATTCCAACGACTTTTCCGGCATATTGTCATCATTGCCATCAAGCACAACAATGACAACTAGTGCCGGTTCTGCTGATACTGGGCCGATTCTCACTTCTTCTGCGGTTGTACCAGCAACTACTACAAGCTCCCAGACTACAGACTCGGAAACTACAAGCTTCCCGGAAAATAGTAGTCAGAGTACCGATACCAGCGACTTTTTCAGGCATACTATCACCAACGTTTGCAGACACCACAACGATAGCCAGTTCCGCTGATTCTGGGCCGGTTCTTACTTCTACGTTGGAGCCATCAATGACTACAAGCTCCCAGGAGGATAATAGTGAAAGTACCATTTCCAGCGACTTTTCAGGTATATTATCACCAACGTTTGCAGACACCACAACGGTAGCTAGTGCGAGCTCCGCTGACTTTGGGCCAATTCTCACTTCTACGGTGGGAACGTCTACGACTACCAGCTCCCAGGAAGACAATAGTGAGAGTACCATTTCCAGCGACTTTTCAGGCACACTATCATCAATTTTATCAGATACCACAACGATAGTTAGCGCCAGCTCCAGTGACTCTGGGCCGATTCTCACTTCTGAAGTGGTGCCATCAACAACTTTAAGCTCCCAGGAAAGTAATAGTCAGAGCACCGTTTCCGAAGACTTTTCAGCCTCATCATCATTGTCACCAGACACCGCAATAACATTCAGTGCCAGTATCACAGATGCTTTCACTTCTACGGTGGTACCATCAGCGACTACAAGCTCACAGGAAAATAACAGTCAGAGTACCGGTTCCAACGACCTTTCAGCCATATTATCATCATCATCATTGCTGTTGCCATCAAGTACTCCTATAACAGTTAGCGCCAGTGCCACAGATGCTGGAACGATTCTCACTTCTTCTACAATTGTGTCATTAACAGCTACAAGCTCCCAGGAAAATGATGATCAGAGCACCATTTCCAACAGCTCCTCAGACATATTACCATCATCGGAAATTCCAACCACCGCTAGCGCTGGTTCCACGGATTCTGGGTTGATTCTCACTTCTTCTACGGCTGAGCCCTCAACGACTGCAAGTTCTCAGGAAAATGATAATCAGAGTGCTACTTCAGACAACTCCTCGAGCATGTTACCATCATCAGATACTACGACGACCGCTAGCACCGGTTCTACGGATTCTGGACTGATTATCACTTCTCCTACGGTTGTACCATCAACGACCACAAGCTCCCAGGAAATTGATACTCAGAGTACAATATCTATCACCTCTGTAGGCATATCATCGTCATTAACATTAACGTTAACATCAGATATCCCAACAACAGTTAGTGCCAGTGTTTCGTCAACAATAGAGGTTGCTCCTGTTCTCTTGACGGTGGTCCCGAATGTTCCTTCATCCAATCAGAAGAAAAGACAAACTGACGACTCGGACGGTGGATTCATCGGCGCCCCCAGCACGACAGACGATTGCAGCGTCGGCACACCCTTCAACATTACCGACGGACAGTTGTCCAGCGACGGGCAGGTTATCGGCACGAATCCCACCTTGCCCTACATTGAACTTTTGCCCTCTTCCTTGGGGTCCATCACGACAACCTTTTTTGTGCTTGACTCTCTTCTACACTGGAGGAACGAGTCATTCTTCCAGGAAGAGGCAGGCTTTTGCCAGACTGCAGACGGCCGCGTTTATGCCACATTCTCTTCTTCTGAGAATTGGCCTACAGATTGCTCGCCTGTAGAAATCCTTGTCTACAAAGGTAAGTATAGCATGATATAAGTCGAGTCACACACGACTGACAAGTCTTCAAGCTCGCCAATGTCAAAATGGCGTAATTGTCCCCGATGACGGCACAGAACCAACGAGTTCATCTGCCTTGACTTCTGCAACCGGAACTCAGTCCGAGTCCTCAACAGATACCACAACAACCAACGTTGTTGCCACCACAGACAGCACAAGTAGTTCTCAAAGTCTGACAGCATCAAATCAGTCTACAGATATCGGGGCCACCTTTGAGAGCACCCAATCTACAGCCTCAACAACGAGCACGGAACCTAGCTCTTCGATCACTTCTTCAAGCCTGCTAACATCGACATCTTCTGTACCGTTCACGATGAGCCTCGGTCCTCCGGACTTGGCCAGTAGTACCCCTACAAGTACAGCTGTCGTCACGACGGGAGATTCCTCAACAGTCCTCGAAAGTGCTTCTTCAACTGATTCGTTTTTACCTTCTTCGACAACCTCCAACAGCGATGTAACTACATCCTCTGATACGAATGCGCCGCTCACTTCTACCTCTAGCACAGCCATCGTATCCAGTAGTGATTCGAGCGTGAGCACTCCAAGTGAGACTTTTTTCAGTAGTTCAACGACAGACACGAGCGCCTCGGCACCGACAATCACAACGTCGACACCAGGCAATACCCAGACTTTTGACCCTGGTTTCGGCTCAACTACAAGTTCCACAACCGAGGCGACAGATAATACGAGTTTGGAAGCCGTCACCAGTAGCAACAGTGGAACATCATCTGAATCTTTGTCATCTACTACGGCTTCAGAATTTACTTCAGAATCTCCCTTAACGTCGAGTGATGCAATTGTCAGCAGCAGTTCTCTCCCGACTGACACGACTGCCTCGAACACCGATAGTAGCTCAACTACGGAGTCACTGACCTCAACTAGCAGCTCAACTGAAAATACACCATCTGATTCAAGCTCGACCATCTCGTCTTCTCCGACTAGCACTGAAACAGATGTAACATCAGTAGTTGGTTCTAGCACTTCGTCTGAAGAAGTTTCGACAGACACAGCTATCAGCAGTTCATCTACCGACGTGCCAACAAGCATTTCTCAAAGCGATCTTCCTGTAGATTTATCCACCAGTTCATCTTCTACTGATATATCAACAAGCTCCCAAGGCAGCAATCCTGCCACGGAGTCAGCTACTACCACAGTGGATGCCACTGAGACGGCATCGATATCGAGCAGCAGCTCCTTCTCAGCCGAAGTGTCCTCTTCCGAGACTTTGCCACCAAGCACATCTTCAACAGAGCCAACCGTTTCTGCATCAAGTGATATCGATACAACATCCCCCACAACTGACTCAACGGCTCTGAGTTCGCCTACTACGACTGAATCTAGTACCTCCGAGACGCAATCATTCTCAAGTGATTTGTCGTCCTCGGAAACGCTTCAAACTACGTCGAATGCATCCCAGGACAGCTCGCTAGCACCAGAGCTGACGTCTACAAGTTCTTCGTCGGACGAGGCAACAACCGCAACGCCGACAGACTCGTCAAGTTCGGAAATAAGCACAGACAATATCTCGCCAACACCTGGAACAAGTTCTACGGAGGAGTCATCGTCCTTGATTAGCCCTACGACAAGCTCTACCATTTCGACCGAGTCACCTGTTTTGTCTTCTGATATTTCATCCACTGCCACCTTGCCGTCTAGCACAGAAGCAGCGCCAGAAACAACAACGGACCAAAGTACAATAAGCACTACCTCAGTGGACACCTCATCGATGACAGCAACAGACACGACTGCTCCTACGGATACGACTGCTCCTACGGATACAACTGCATCTACAGATACAACTGCTCCTACAGATACAGCTGCTCCTACAGATACAGCATCATCGACAGACACAACGGCATCTACAGATACAACGGCGTCTACAGATACAACTACACCTACGGATACCACCGCTCCTACGGATACAACTGCATCTACAGATACAGCGTCATCGACAGACACAACAGCAGTAACAGATACAACGATACCTACAGACACAACTGCACCTACGGATACCACTGCTCCTACGGATACGACTGCTCCTACGGATACAACTGCATCTACAGATACAGCGTCATCGACAGATACAACTGTTCCCACGGATACAGCATCATCGACAGATACAACTGCTCCTACAGATACAACTGCTCCTACAGATACAGCATCATCGACAGACACAACGGCATCTACAGATACAACGGCGTCTACAGATACAACTACACCTACGGATACAACTACACCTACGGATACCACTGTACCTATATCTTCGAGCGTTGTTGATACGTCAACAGAAGCTTCATCATCATCAACAGATGTCACTTCAACGGATGCTGTACCATCTTCAACAGGTCCAGTATCAACAGATGCGACTTCAACAGACATAATATCAACAGACACAACGCCAGCAGATACGACGTCAACAGAACTCACTTCAACACAAGTGACTTCAGCGGATGCAACATCAACAGAGGCCGTACCCTCCTCAACAGATGTCACTTCAACGGAGGCTGTACCATCTTCCACAGACACAATATCAGCCGAAGTAACTTCAACGGATACAGCATCAGCGACAGATACAGGTTCAGCGACAGATACAGCTTCAGCGACAGATACAGCTTCAGCGACAGATACAGCTTCAGCGACAGATACAGCTTCAGCTTCGTTAACAGATATAGCATCGTCAACAGATACGGCATCAGCAGAAGTCACTCCAACGGATACAGCATCATCAACAGACACAGCGTCATCAACTGATACGGCTCCATTAACAGATACATCATCAGCGGAAGTCACTCCAACAGATGCAGCATCGTCAACGGATATGGCATCGCCAACAGATACAGCTTTATCAACAGATACGGTATCGTCAACTGATATAGCATCAACAACAGATGTAGCATCGTCAACTGATGGAGCATCATCAACAGATACGGCCTCATCAGCAGAAATCACTCCAACAGATACAGCATCATCAACAGATACGGCATCGCCCGCAGACACAGCGTCGTCCACAGATACAGCGCCATCAACTGATACGGCTTCATCAACAGATACATCATCAGCAGAAGTCACTCCAACAGACACAACATCGACGGAATTGAGTTCAACAGATACATTATCATCAACAGAGGTCACGCCAACAACGGATGTAGCATCAACAACGGATGTAGCATCAACAACGGATGTAGCATCAACAACAGAAGTGACATCAACAGACACAACGTCATCAACAGGAGTCACATCAATAGATACAGCATCAGCAGAGGTTACTTCAACGGATACAACATCAGCAGAAGTCACTTCAACCGATATAACATCATCAACAGACATCACTTCAACAGAAATAACATCAACAGAAGCAACTTCTACAGAAATCACGCCGTCGTCAACAGAAGTGGCTCCAACGGATACAACATCATCGACGGAGGTTGCTTCAACAGATACAACTTCAGCAGAAGTCACTTCAACAGACGTAGCATCATCAACAGACGTAGCATCATCGACAGACGTAGCATCATCGACAGACGTAGCATCATCAACAGACGTGGCTGCAACAGATACGGCAACATCATCGACTTCAATCACATCGTCAGTCGATACGGCTACTGGTCCAGAGGTCACTTCGCCAACTTCAACGGGAACAAGCGCGGAGACAAGTTCAACAGAAGTAACATCAGCATTGACCGAGACCACGCCAACAGATACAACAACTTCAGACACTATATCAACGTCATCGAGTATCACAGCCACGTCAACAGAAACGGACGTTTCTTCAGTCGATTCCCTGTCTTCAACAACTCCATCAACAAGCCTGTCCAGTACTTTGGAACCTACAACCTCATCTTCATCCGAATTGTCTACTTCTGAGACATCTTCAGCAGAAATCAGTGCGACCACAACAGAATTGAGCACGCTCGTAACGAGTACAACCAGTGACACCTCTACGGCTGACAGCACAAGCTCTCTTGCGACCTCGGATCCAGAACTCACCACGACTACTGGTACAGAGACCACCACATCTTCATCGGCAGAAGTATCGTCCTCGGACATCCAGACGACAAGTTCCACGAGTACCTCTGACGCAGACGTATCGTCAACAACCAGCTCCTCATCAACAGAAGTGGAATCCCCAACAAGCTCTGTAACCACTTCAGATGCCCCTACCACCACGACTGATCTTACGACGTCATCAACAAGCACCACTGCAGAACCAACAGCGACCGAAGAACCCGACACGTACCCACGCAACTTTTGCATCAAGATTGCCGGCCCAGACCACCTGGACTGGATCAGCAGCGGCTTCGGCCCCGGCGACGTGCTCAACTTCCGCAGCCCGCAAAACGCCCAGTTGCCCACGCTCTACTTTGAGCGCAACGGCAACGCCAACGGCAGCCCCGTGTACAGCCCGCTGGTGGGCACCACGGGCACGGCCGCCAGCGCCCAGGCGTCGGACGCCTGGATCTACGCCTTCCTGTCCGTCCCGCGCACCGACGCCGCCGGGAGCCAGCCCAACCCGGCCAATATCATCTTTGCGGGCCCGGACCAGCTGGACAACTACAGCGACATGTACCAGCAGGTCGAGTGCCGCGTGGCGGGCGCGGCGCCCGGCTCGGCGTTTACCTGTCGGGTGCAGTTTGATAACAACGAGTTTCCAGACTACAATCAGTTCTCACTCGCGCCCGCTGAGGCTAGCAGGAGGAGGATGAGGAGGAGAGAGCTACAGTCCAACAAGAGGCAGTCTGAAGATCCCAATACTGCCCAAGCAATGCAATTGGCCTATGACCAGGCATCTGAGTACTCTCTGTACATCGATTACGATCCCAATTGTGGGACATATCCCGACGAAGCTAACTAGGCAAAGGTCGTGGACGCGAGTAATGGCAGGAGAGCCGGGGATGGTTTGGAGAGAACGCAGGGAGCTGTGCTCCTTGTTCATGTATTTACTTTTCATGGGCTGGCCACTACATATACCCTGCTACTTTGTGTACAATTATTGTTATTTTGATATATAAACCGGCGTAAATCTGCACTGTTTTATAATAATGATAGTTTTTATCAATATGCGGTGCTCACTATGTGCCTCGGATTGTTGTTTGTTATCCTCTCTTGATGAATTTATACAAACTAGTTCCGTGAAATATCCATAACGTTGCATAGTAGCCATGGCTTTAAGCCACTCGTTATAATGGAGAAATTCTTCGATTGAATATCACCGCCTCGCCAGCAGTGTGATTCGGAAACCGTTTTGAGACCAGACCAGAGCCGAAATTGCTCGTTACGTATCAGTGAGGTGTGATTTGGTTATAATGATCAAGACATTATTCGATCGAGCAATGTCTTGTCTTGAGTTCTATCGGCATCGAACGTGACCGAGACATGATCCTTCCCTATCTGTACACATCACCAGCAGAAAGACCAGCAAGTTTGAAACACACGATAGCCATTGGTGTCACTGCTATTATTACGAAACTTATTAACGCTTCCCGATCTCCTGCAAAATGAGTTTTACGAGCACTGTTACATTAAAATCCTACAAACGCTTATCGAGAGATGAGTGGCGAAGCACGAACGCAAGAGAGAATGAAACCGGACAAATTGGCATTATCTGAACATGCCCGTCACCACCCTCTTAGCTCTGTTGCGACATGTGCGTCGGCAGATTATAGGTAGCATAATCCGTGTGCACAAACGCCCTGTCCACAGCGGGGACACTCTCGAGGACGTACTGCAGACTCTCTGCCAGGTCGTGGCTGTCGCGCAGCGGGGTGCTGGCATCGAGTACAATGTCGACCTCGACGTTGAGCTTGTCACCGGCGTGATAAGCCTGCAGGCCCTGGATCTGGCGAATGGTTTTGGCAAAGCGCATCGTCAGGTACAGCAGCACGTTACGCTGGTCTGCAGTGGCTGAGAAGCCCGACAGGTTCTTGATGTGCTCCAGAGACGTCTCGGACCAGTTGTAAATGACGACACAGGACAGAAGCAGGCCACCGAGCGCATCGAGCCACCAGATCTTGGCATAGAAGCCAACTACAAACATCATATTTTAGCAAGCGTCTTGTGATGCAACCAGTAGACCAGAAAAATACATACCTATCGGGAAAAAGATGGATCCAATGTTGAAGATGACATCAGTCCACGCATCCGCAGCCAGAGCTTGGACATTCGAGTTCTTGACGAGACGGCACCAGAGCCAGCACAGACCCTTGATAAGGACGGTGCCCGCCATGATGCCGATAGCAGGAATCCCGAGCTCGACGAGTTCATGCTCTGGAGATGCTAGTCGTTGGATCGACTGTAACGCGACTTGACAGAAAGAGGTGATCATGATGACCGAAAACACCAGAATACCCAATGGCTCCAGTCTCCTCCGACCGACGGGATATTTGTACTGGTCCTGGCGGCTGACCAACCACGTAGTCAGCCAGACAATGACGGTAGACAAAAAGTCCAGTACGGCATCTACCAAACTGGCCAGCACCGACATGGAAGACACTGAAATGATTACAGCAATCTTTCCAGCCAAGAGAATAAAATTAGCGGCAAAGTTCACGTAAATGGCTACAGTGACAATGTTGCTGCTGCTGTCGAGATCATCGTCATCTTCGAGCCACGGGATCTCGGGCTTTGCGCCCTCGCCATCCCATACCTCGCCGTCCTCTTCATCGTGGTTGCTAAACAAGGGCGTCGTCTCGGTGGGCCGGTAGATGTCTCTTGGCGTACGCTTGACCTTCTTGACGCTCTTCCCTGCCTCCTCGCCGGACTGTCCGTTCCCGTTCTCCTCGTTGGAAGGCGAGCCAGTCCCACTTGTTTTTAATAATCCGCTCCCCTCTATCAAACTTCCCACGGCGCTCCTGTTGGCACTACCAGGCTCCTCGCGGATGGTATCCGGGATCTCGACGCCGCGAAAGTGGCTGGCGGGCATGTCATTGTACTCGTTGAGCAGATCATGAGGCAGACTGCTGTCCAGCAGCCGGTCAATGTACAGGTACTGCTGGATAAGATAGTTGGTGCGCTCATAGTAGGCGCGTATGGGCTTGCGCATCGAGGCCAGCTGCTCCTCGGGCACCCAGTAGCGCTCCCAGCGGTACCGCGGGTTCGAGTTGCCAATCAGACGCATACTGCGGACGGGACGGCTCATGAGCACGGCCGAGAGCCGGCGCTCCTCATACAGAGACCGGCGCGACGTGGCATCATCTTCGCCACCGCTCACGCTGCCTGCGGCGCCGGCGCCATGGAGGTGGTGGTGGTGGAGAGAAGCCTCGTGATGCCCGCCCGGGTGGTGCGCCTCCAGGTCCGCAGCATCGAGACCACCGGTATTGCGCCAGGTCGTCGTCCCGTAGCCCTGCAGCGAGCTGTGGGACCGGTTCCGGATCAGGTGGGCGAGCGTGCCCTGGCCGCGCGGTGAAAAGGCGGGCGGTGCCTCGTCTTGCAGAACGAGATAGCCTTTGCGGTGCAGGCCGCTTCTCCCTGGAGACCGGGACAGGTACGACGAAGACTCTTGAGAAGACATGGCTGGTTCGAGACAACAAAGTAAAGCAGATGAAGCTTTCCGTTGCCCTTTCACCGAACTGCTGCCAACTGAGTCACTGTCTGTTTCCAGTCTATGAACTCAGCCCTGGAAATGACGTACCCTCAGCTAGATTAGAGCTGGACTTGGGGGTAAAATTCTTTCCGTCGAAGCAAGGAGGTAGACAATTGCGTCTGCCAGAGGTAGCTGATGGTAGCCTGGTGAGCTTCTGAAGCATGTGACAGTACCAGTAGACTTGCACGATTGGCGTCGTGGTTCAATGGAAAGCGTGGGGTGACTTCTTTATCATGATAGTTTTGACATTTCCTTGAGCTGCTGCTACACGTTTTCATACCTAGCTAGCTTGTATCTAAGCTATCGAGTTTTGAAGGTTGCAAAGCTAAGCTAGCAGATTGCCTATTACCCATTTGGGGCCAAAGGTTCCAAAACAACCTGAACCTGGTACCGTGTGTGCGGGTACCGAGGGGGTTCAACCGCAGGCCACTTTTTAGCAGATCTTCGCTGTACTCAAACAACCCGAGCCCCCAGGATCTGCAAGGTCTTTCTAAGGTCCGCTGTTGCAGCGATTTCAAAAGCAATGTCAAAGCGGAGGAAAGAAAAGACAGAGAAGAGAGAGTGAGAGAGAGAGAGAAGAGAGGAGACGATGAAAGATGCAAGGAAATCAAGAGACGAGAAACGGAGTCATCATGGTCGTGTTCTTTTATTCTCCTCCTATTCGTTCCCTCCAGGTACTCGTTCGTCAGCACGCTAGATTCATGCAAGGCTGCCGTTGTTATTATTTTGTACCAAATAAGACATGGTAAAAATAAAAATAAAAATTGTCAAGGTTTGGTGAAGACGAGCTGGTCCCAGCTCACCATTAGATCTCGAAATCTACTGTGTACTACTTTTTATTGTATCCATTATTACGGCGAAAGCGTCTCGTGAAGTTGAGAGTGGAGGTTTCCACAAGCAAAGGCCCGGTCTTTTTTGCCGCTCACTCTTTTTTTTTTTTCCTTAGTCATTTTCAATGCCAAGGATCTTCAGGGTCGTCGTGTTTGATGGAGTCGCCTTAATCGGGGGAGAGACCCTTCTTATTACTGTGTGCTACACACCAGTGACACTTGATGAGTCTCTTGCCTTGTCTGCTGCTTGGGGAGCTCGTCCTCTGACAAAATGCCAATGAGACGAATGTTTTGTTTCCCGCAGATTAATGGACGCGTTTTACTTGCATGGTCCATGTACCTGTCATACCCCATTGTATGTGCGCCGCCACTTGAGAAGCCCCAGATGCTCGAGGCGCAGTGCGCGTGAGAATTCGTTCACATGTATGCAAACTTTTCTCAACTTGAAATGCGAGGTAATAGGAGTAGTGGTAATAATAGTAAGTGGAGGGTGAGGCGGAAGTTCTGGGGGACCCAATCACGCAAATACTATTCTGTACATGACCTCTTGCATACAACAGCGGACCCGGGCCACTTTGCATACACATCATGCACATCTAACTTACCTGCTACTGAGATGCCGAGCGTGGCGTATTAACATTAGGTTCGAGAGCCGTGTAGCTTATCTGAGTACATCGTCAAGCGGGAAAACAGCAGACAGCCCGGGGGGGAGGTTTCGTCATGAAGGGGGAATGAGCGCTAGTCACCCGGCGCCCGTGGCTTGACAGAACTCTGTATCATGGCAGACACGGCTTGGTCTAGAATCGGCATAGGATAGATTAGTGACACAAGAGGGGAGGCCATGTCGGAAACTCTATAATGTAAGCACTGGATGAAAATGAAAAATTCGTTCATTGCGTTTTCAACAAAAGAGACATGAATAGAAACCATGACCATGCAAGATCCATTACAGCATGAACAAACTCTGCTGATATAATCCACCGACTTTCCGGGCTTGCCTGCCTGCCTACACGTGTGGCAACCACCAAATATAGCTTGACCTTAACATTCTGTAAGCTTTGTCTAGAAGCCCGGCCGGAAACGCAAGGCATTGGTTGGCCGAACAAGAAGCTTTCGTCAATCCCCCGCAACCCACGCGCGCCTTTCCCGGGTCCGGGTATTGTGAATGCGTGGAAGCGTTAATATCAATCCACCGAGGGGTGCATATGATGGTGTACACTACAGCAATCCTTGGCTTTATATTCATTCAGCTAAATATATAGTTGTTCCGTGCTGGGGTCGGTCATGCCATCATTGACTTCATTATTGACTTCATTGGCCCACTGATTGAATTGAATCATGTTGCCTAGATCTCTGAACAATACTTTTTTGAAAAGTAATCGCCGGGTACGGAGAGCACGACAAGGCTCTAGTAGTTGACGGTGTAGTCACATCAGCCTGCAGTATTCTGGGACAGCTCACATGGTTGCTTGCGATGGGTTACGAAGCAAATTGGTAATAAATGCAATTGCCGGCTCGGCAATTCGACTGCCAGGCGGAAAGCTCGCTTATATGAGATGTAAATACCAGCTAAATGGTAACTCATATATGTACACATGAGGTTGGCGTCTTGGTAAAGAGCCATTTGAAGTGTGATCTAAAATAGAGAGGATTAGGTTAGAACATTACCTCTGGAGGTAATCTGTACTTACATTAGCCAGCTGCAGGGTGACAGTTTGAACCCGCGCGGCTGGTGATATATAAGGAATACACAGGTTTGCCGTCAGGGGCAACTTGTTTAAGTGCTTCTGCTTTTTTAATACTATGTATGGTCGACGATTGTGGGTTGAGCTGGCCACAGTCTTCAAAGAAAATGTCCAAGGCAGCCCGCCCAATGAGCTAATTGCCCCTATTCCATGCAGGCCGTGCCGTAGACCATGGACTTGGTTTTCGACGGTCGTGACGGACGCATAAAGGATGCGTTCCAAACCCTAAAAGAGACATTTATTTGTATGGTGCTGCCCTCAACTGAGCATGCTCAGCAATGCACTTTGAGGCAAATCGGCCTGCAGTGTTGGAAAGAGAGTATGTTTACCAGGCCCGCTTTGCTGGTTCTCGATTGCATATAGGTACTGTGTACCAACCTTTCATGCTATGGGGGCGCAGATCCGTGTGTGCCCAGTCTTCTTACGACGATACATACGATTATTAGTGTATGCGAACTCGGGCCACCAGATAACGACGATAATCCAGTCATACAGTACCCAACTTGCACACTAAATGCTGAAGATCGTTCAGAAGTCAGTCGCAGGTTGACAACATCGACGATGCATGACGTGTGCAGTCTGCATTCTTGTTGGGCGTCGTCAATATTGGCTACGAACCCTTGTAAATCGCAAATTTGCTCCCGGCGCTTCGCCTCAATGACCTCTGGGTGAGCAATAAGATCAATAAAAAGACCTTTTTTTGTTCATTCCTGGCCCAAATTGGACAGAGTTGAGTCGAGATTCGCTCATTGTAGCAATGCCTCTGACTGGGATGATTGGTCCCACGTCAGATCAGATCTCCGACGGCGGCTCGGCTGCACCTTCAGGGCTGCGGCTAAGGCGATTGGGGTAGCGAACGGCCGCGTTTGGGCTGATGTTGGGTCAGATTTAATCATCCATCGTATGCATTTCTAACCTTGGCCTGTCGGCGTCTTGTTGGCAGAGCAGCCGGCCCCCTGAGTCGTGGGGATGGATGGATGGATGAATAAATGGATGGTTGCTCGGAGGACCTGGGTTTTCTGGCTATTGATTGCTGAAATGATTTGCTTCATGCATAGCCTGCCTTGACATAGTAGGCAAAACGTGCCAGGGAAGAAAGTTCTGGATGGTGGGGCTTTAGTGCTTCGCGCAAGTAGAAGTGGCCATTTCGAATCTGGATTTTGCAAGAATGAGCGTAGGAAAACTTGGAAAGTCTGCGACTTCCGGAGTCGCAATGGGAAGGCAATGCTGAACTGTACCCCATGTGAAATGGAACCCGAAGCGGAATACGAGAGAGCATTCGATGCTAGACGTCAGGGCGCTTGTCTTCTTGTTGGCACCATTTGGCTCGACATGGGGCCGCTGACAGGATAAACCGCTAATAATGAGAGTTTGATATTGATCGTTGACCCGCAATCTCCATATTGATCCCCACGCACGTGGTGTGTAGTTGGTACTCGTGCCTCGGAGGCTGAAAAACAGCAAATTTGTCCCCAGCAAGAAAACAGTCGATACGATACTGTCCGCTAAGACTGAGTTGTGAGGAAACCAAAAGGCACCATCGCCAAGAATTATCTTGTCTTCTCTGACACGGAGAGTTACGTACTACGCTCCCGAGCAGCACTACCAATTCTTCGGGTTGTGTACAGCATGGAGCGTAACCGTGGAAATAACACAGAAGCCGTGCAGTTTTGTTCAACGTGCTACTATTGCCGTCTTGTGATAGGTGGATGGGGGGCCATGGATGCATACCTACAGTGCGGTACCGTACGAGCCGAGGGAGGAGTGTCCGATCAGTGGGTTTTCGGTGATAAACTCTTGATAGATACGGTAGGTAGGGACGGAGTATGTAACATACACTAGGTACGTAGGTAGTATGGGGTAAACCCAGGTTAGTCGTCATAGACAGGGTATATCGAGATGATCTATTTCTCTCGATAGCATCACGATTTGCAAGTTGCAAGGTAGAGCTGGGAAAGTGATTATCGGGTGACCAGAAGTTGAGCTGCTGTGTTACCTGGAGAAAGTTCCCGTTGAGCATGGTATGTTGCTCGGGCATTGCGTATGCCGCCAAGCACAGGCGGATGCAACTACTAGAGGTTGAGGATGGAGAGCTCTCTGCTGTCCTGGTTAAAGCTTCTCTTTTGAAGCTGCAGATGGATGACCAGCCAGCACCATTTTTTTTTTTTTTTAGGACCAGTAGCGGTGACCAGATGGCGGTTATTAAGAAGTAAGCCATGCCGCCATAATGCGTTCAAATGGCTTACAGGGGTCTTCTGGCAGCTGCAATGAAAATGGTATGTGTCCTTGGTCGAGGTGCTCCGTAGGTACACACTGTGGGTTGGAAATGTTGACAGATAATCTTTGAACACTT